TGGTTAACCAAAAGTTGCATTCGTTTACATCGATTGAATTTTAATAAAATATTTGTATTTCAAATAACATTGACGTCGACAATGTTTTGGTCATGTATAATGAAAATATTTCCCAAGGGACAAAAGGTAACAGTTTGCCTTTCATAAACTAGACATCCTTTGTAGTTGTAACAAGCATAGGAGGGGACCATACTTAATCTACGATCAGGTAAATGAAAAGATAATGATGCAGCGAAGAAAACAAATTAGTAAAAAATGCAATATTCTGTATTCTGCGTAAATCGCTTTAAGTACGCAAGTCTTGGGGCTGCGTTCGTTGAACGCCGCCTTTCCTTGTCGATCTTGTTTATCATATTTTTTGGTTATATGAGACAATTGCGTTTACTAATGACGAGACCAACACTTTGCCCGAATCAATCGCCAAATTCTTTAAAGAACAGGTCAAAAGTTATACCTAGGCATATAGCTCTTTATCAATAACAAAGATTAAAGCTACATTAAATGAATTTCTTAAAAACAAAAATAGCGACATTTCATTAGTAAATTTGGTTTCATATCGACTCCAGATCTTATTATGGTGTCAAGGCAACCAAAATGAGTTTTATAAGCATAAACATTTGCGACCTCATTGTGGCGAAATCGGAATTTGCATGAGAAACTCCGCCTTCGGGTCATCCGTACATCAATATTAAATCAACAAACATGGTTATAAGTAGCAGTCCTAATATAACGGTATATTTACGCTTTTTTCGTATTTGCTGTGTTCTGTATAGCAACTATAACACTGTGACGTAGCACATAGATAAACTGATTATAGTCTTCATTTGCATGTTAAAATTCGTATACGAACTTTAGTGTTACCGTGGGGTTTTCCGTTTAAAATCGTAATTTATGAACAATATTTGATGAGATTTACAACAATACTGTTAAAAAGGTTAATAAAATAGTAGAATTCTTGGTTATTAGGCCGACGGCAAAATATTTTTACATATTTATTTAATGTAACTTTAACAACCATAAATAGATTATTGAATTTAATCTAGTATTTGGCTCATTTCTTTTCAAATAATTCTTTTCGTTAGTCTGACAAACTAATAACGAACTTACCAGAACTGTTAATCTTAATTTGATATATTCAAATGATCTCATACATATATGTTTACTCGGGGTAAAATCATCCTTTGATGCGGTAGACGTAAGAGAGGTGACTGTCGTTTAGACACGGGAACTTTGGTCCCAGCCTTTCTAAAATCTGGAAAAGGGGTGACAAATAGAATGCCTAAAATGACATATGTCTTAAATATAAAATGATTTGATCTCTGAAATATGCTATTTCCTCTGACATAAAACAATAATATAATGCTAACATATCAAACAATAAACATGACATTAAATATAAAAATGCATATAATTAATAATCTATATTTGTAGAGAGCTAATAGATAATTATTTTGATTGTTCGTAAGAAATAAACATGATTTTGATAAGCGAACATTTTTAAGGGAAATGAAAATATAAAAAAAATGTTAAAATATTTTGAGTGATGACTTTTCAGGAATGTTCATTTTAGACCAGAAAAATATCATAAAGCTTTTAAATCTTTAGGGATTTATATTAAAAGAATGAAAAAGTACTCACAAAATGGAAAAATAATCGAAACCTGAAAGAATGTTACGCAATTTTAAGATTGCCGGGTAGATAAAGCTAAAGTCATTCGTGGATAGTAAACATGAAATATCATGCTTGAACGTGAGTGTAAATGACTTTTGTTTCGGGTCACACAAACAAACACATTTTTGTAAACATTTAAAGCAGTTACAAAATTGTTTCTTTTAATATTTTTGTTTCATGCTTTCTGCAACATAGTTCTGCATTCTTAACTTGAAATATTTGTCCTATACAAGAAGAAGAAGAGATAGTAAAACAGAAAGCCACTTTACCAGAGTCCAAAGGGCCTTTTCCTTTTTTAAACAAAATATTATTGTACATGTATATCAAATCGTTTTATTACCATTGTTATTATTATTTTTGTTATTATTATAAATATGTATATATTTATGTATATAATTATGATACCATTGTTTCATTTAGAGCATTCGTAAGTGAATTATTGCCGTATAGTAAAATATTCAATGTAATAGTTGTGATTTAATTTAATTTGTTTGAAAGGACAATGTTTTCATCTTGATACATGGGAAAATGGTGGAAATATAGTGTTCTGTATTGTCAATTACAGCACATATGCAAAAAGGCATTCTTTAATTTTTCTGAAAACGGATACTGTTTCAGAGAGCTGCAATGTGTTCTTAATCGTGTATGTAATATTTTATATCTTTATTCATTTTCAGAAAACATTAAAAATATTTTCCTTACAAGTAGTTACAAAATGATATTTTTCTAAATAATTGTTTAATCCCAAATCATAGGGAAACAGCAAATTTCCCCAGTTGAAGTGAATGGTAACTATCATTTTATTTTTGCATTGGATAACATCGTTGCACTTTGTCAGGCATTGATATATTATCTTGATATTTGTAATACATTAAGACTTCAGATTATTCTCTTTTAACGATTTAAGTTACACAGTGTAAAACGAGGGCGGCGTTTCAAAAATAATTCCACTCTGTAATGGAATCGTATTACATAACAAAAAGAGCGACTATTAATATCTTTTTCGCTGCTTTGTTTTATCAATACGCCATCAATTTGATCGTTGATGCATGCGTTTTAATCGAAATTTATTGTTATGTGTTTTGACCGTTGAACGTCTCTTTCTACGGTAGAACACTTGGATATCAAATAATACTACAGGGAAACCTTTGGGCGAAATATCTGAATTCAAATCTTATTTCTTTTATCAAACATAATAGGGGCTTAAGCATGCATAACGTATGGTATTTTGTTTTATTTTCAGCCTCCAAAATGTCACGCTCTGCACCAAACAACTTGATAATGAGAAAATCGTTTTTTTATATAAAAAATAATAATCAATTTACAGTAAACTCCGTTTATAACCAACTCGTCAGGACATTCAAAATTTGTTCGTTATATCCAGAATCCTTGTAAGCATATAGCGAATTATTTCCTTGTATCAGGAGTCTTTATAGCGAACAGATTTACATATAACGAACTAATTGTTTACCATCGTCCGCCATTTTGAAGAGCTTTTAATTAAGAAGAAATAGTCATTTATTTCTATTTAAGACACAATACCAGAGAGCGTACTTATCCTTTGCTATTTCAGTTTAAATTTTACTCAATTTCTCATAAAATATCATATTTTGTTTCTAAACTCAGTGCTTTTCGTTTTCTTTCAACAAGATTTTCGATTTTTCCTTCCATTTTTTTTATTGAATATCTCCTATTTTAAGGGTGAGATTTACTAATGAAATATATAGATTTCTTTTTATTTCAATCAGATGTCCTTGTAGTTTTCAGTGGATTATGCTTGCAAGCATGCGTGATTATGTTGAAACCGATTATAAATTATCATAATTATTTTACTTGGGCAATACTATTAAAGGAAAGAAATAATAGAATAAAAGGAATAACCGTTTTATTTTGGTAATAAGAACTCATGTAAAAATATCCTAAATTGAAAACTATAACGTACTGCTATACAAATTCATTTAAATGTACATTCGGCCTGAAAATGCGGGATCTATTTACGGATAGCCGATATTTTGTAGTGCGTTATAAAAGTGTAAATCTAAATTGGGAATTAGAAATAAGTTCATTATAAGCGATAATTCCTTATTGCCGTGCTCGCTATAACCGTATATTTTTATAATAAATAAAGACGGCCAAAAATTGGGCCACAATAAATTGTTCATTATAACCAGAAGTTCGCTATAAGTGAAGTTTATTTTAATATAAAAGTTGTTGTCAGAGGAATGCGATATATGCTGTGTTCTAATATTTTCTGTTACCATCAGGTTTCATCCCAGTTAAACGAAAAATAGAAAAATAATTTGTGCACTGCTATGTTACTTAGTCGTTACCAAATTACCAAGAAAAGCAAGAGTTACTTTGCAACATCCGGTTATTTCAATTTCATCAAATATTTATCGCTTTGTGTTGGTTATATGATGTTGACAGATATATAAAGAAAAAGATAGCGGAGGGGTGTTGGGTTCAAGTCTTTTTATTTACATTTCTCATATGACGTCATACTCTTAAAGTTGTCGAGAAAATCTTGAATAATATGATGTCATTCTAACTTAAAAGCCTAGGTTTAAGGCTTATTATTAGATATATGTTAACCCATTCTCATTGCATAACTTGCATAACCATGCAAATAAAAAACTTTCCAAGTTAATGAAAGAAAAGACATATTGTAGTCTATGTTTATTTTTTTTACAGAAAATAGATAATATGTAAATGCTCACTTGCAGAAAGCTACGACGAATAATGAAAAGTGATAAGTGTACAAGAAAACAGATCATACCAACTAATTGATATAGCTTATTGTACAATAAAATGTAAAAACTGTCACATATTGTAATTTATGTATTAGAAACACCTTTGCTGGTGGCACAAATTGTAATAATATTATATTTATGTACTGTTGTCTTATACAAATGTGCGTATATGAAACAACACAATTTCTGGAAAAAATATATGAAATTATAAAATCTCATTGTCATGTTTTTATTTTAGAAATGATTGACACTTTTAGAATTCTTCAAGCAATTAAAACTAGACCTATCACTGAAGGTGATTAATACCCCCACCAGCAACTTTTTGAAAAATAAGTAGTCTGAAGAAAAATTTCAACACAAACTATCAACTGTGTACAAAGAAATATTTCAATTAATTGTAATCCCAACTGGGGTCTCCAAATAAGCTTGTTTTTCACAAAGTTTGATTACAATATCTCATTCCTAACTCTAGTTATTGTCCGGAAACCATTTTTCTATTTTTAGGAATGGTGACCTTGACCTTGACCCAAGGGGGTCCAAATGCAATACCAACCCAGGTCTTCATATAAGCTTGCTATACACCAAGTTTGATAACAATATCTCATTCCTAACTCTAGTTATTGTCCGGAAACCATTTTTCTATTTTTAGTAACGGTGACCTTGACCTTGACCCCAGGGGGTCCAAAAACAATACCAACCCAGGTCTTCATATAAGCTTGCTATACACCAATTTTGATTACAATATCTCATTCCTAACTCAAGTTATTGTCCGGAAACCATTTTTCTATTTTTAGTAACGGTGACCTTGACCTTGACCCAAGGGGGTCCAAATGCAATACCAACCCAGGTCTTCATATAAGCTTGCTATACACCAAGTTTGATAACAATATCTCATTCCTAACTCTAGTTATTGTCCGGAAACCATTTTTCTATTTTTAGTAACGGTGACCTTGACCTTGACCCCAGGGGGTCCAAATGCAATACCAACCCAGGTCTTCATATAAGCTTGCTATACACCAAGTTTGATAACAATATCTCATTCCTAACTGTAGTTATTGTCCGGAAACCATTTTTCTATTTTTAGTAACGGTGACCTTGACCTTGACCCCAGGGGGTCCAAAAACAATACCAACCCAGGTCTTCATATAAGCTTGCTATACACCAATTTTGATTACAATATCTCATTCCTAACTCAAGTTATTGTCCGGAAACCATTTTTCTATTTTTAGTAACGGTGACCTTGACCTTGACCCAAGGGGGTCCAAATGCAATACCAACCCAGGTCTTCATATAAGCTTGCTATACACCAAGTTTGATAACAATATCTCATTCCTAACTCTAGTTATTGTCCGGAAACCATATTTCTATTTTTAGTAACAGTGACCTTGACCTTGACCCCAGGGGGTCCAAATGCAATACCAACCCAGGTCTTCATATAAGCTTGCTATACACCAAGTTTGATAACAATATCTCATTCCTAACTCTAGTTATTGTCCGGAAACCATTTTTCTATTTTTAGTAACGGTGACCTTGACCTTGACCCCAGGGGATCCAAATGCAATACCAACCGGAGTTTTCACATAAGGTTGCTATATACCAAGTTTGATTACAATACCTCATTCCAAACTCTAGTTATCGTCCGGAAACCATGTTGTGGACCGACCGACGGACCGACCGACCGACCGACCGACCGACCGACAAGCTGACTCCTATATACCCCCCCTAAACTTCGTTTGTGGGGGTATAAAAAAACATCATAACTTATCTGCAGGAAACAGCAAAAATGTCTTTGTCATAGGTGTGATCGACAACCAATAATATGGAAAAAAAATTTCTTAAATAACCGGTATATCCTTAAATCCTCAAGAAACATCTGATGGGATATGAGACGTTTGATGTTTTAAAGAAACAAACTTACACCGCGTGTAAAATGAGCTCAGACGCATTTACAAGTTGTGGGAATTTATCTTAAAGGTGGTATGTAACTCTGTTGTTTATATACCTAAATAATCTCAGAATCTGGCATTAAATCTAATCGAATCGTTAGGCGTTGTTCCAAAATCCCTAATCAATAACTGGATATCGGGTTTCAATAGTTTTGTTTAGGTTTAGCTATTCCTCATTTGTTTAAATATGTTCTTAGCAACAGATAATCCTACACATTCTTCATATATGACAGTTGTCAAATGATCGGGCAAATTTGAATTACTAACCATATTAATTAAAGATACAGTAGTAAGATAACCCTTGCAAAAGAAGAATAATCTAATATTGCGCCAACAAGACACATTGTATTTTGATTTCGATCTATAAAATGTTATATAAAATGCACTTTCTCAGCCGTTAGGTCTGTTAAACATATTTTTTTCACGTAAGCCACCTAGGTGAAATACAATGTACCGAAAACTGATTGGCATTAAGTATATTATTAGTGATATAACCAATATTTTAGGAATGCTGTTTCTTAATGTAACAGCGTTATGGCTAACAAAACAAAAATATCTTTTAGAAAACCAATGATTGTTTATACGGAAGGTTGTTTGAAATACGTTAAAGGTTATCATATTAATTTCCATGGATAGACTAAACATATATTTACAAAGATCTACTTTTTACGAAAAGTCTAGCAAAATATTTCACCGACCAATTAGAATTCATAAATGAAACTATTGATTTCTTGACGCTAATTTTCTAATCTGTATTCAGATTTTAACAAATTGGCTTTCTACATCAAGGCAGAATCCATGTTATAGTATTTATAAATGAAAACTGGTGTAGTATTGTTTGAATTTTCATTGTTTTCAAGGACAGAAACGTACAAGTAGAAATATATATGCTACACGACATAACAAAATCAAGACGCAGCCTTATACATTAAGTAATAAATGATAAAAGACGTAATATGCTATATCCGAACATGTATACATGTATTTATAACAGGAAAAAGGAAAACTACAGATGCATTAAAACTTTACACTGGCTCTCAAATGCCATTACTATCGTAAAACATGTGCACTAAAGGCAAAGAGAAAGATAAGAAGAAAAATATTTTTGTTTTTTGTTTTACTGTAGTTGGGTTTTACGTTGCACCAACACAGTCAATGTCATTTGGCGACTGTCGAGCTTTACTGGATGAGGGAAATCTCAGGTGCCCTCTGTTATCTAGGTATACAATTTAAACTTTGTAATATTTTTTATAATATTGACGTTTTACATGAGATTAGTTGACATTTTAAGGATATTTTCTTTTAATTTGAGTAGCAGACAAAATCTACAACAGTGATTTGAAATGGCTATACTTAAATGGAACAGCAGTGTAAATACACATTTAAGGGATAGTGCATACAATGTACTATATATATGGTTTCATCTTCTACATTTTACAGTAAACGAATACTTATTTCTGTATTTAAAGGTAATGTAAAAACAATTATGACAAATGTTTGATGTTTTTGCAGTACAAATGAAAGGCTTCAGATATATATGTAACTATCCTTATACATGTATTATTAATTTAAGAAGGAGCAATGCATCATTTTCTTATTGCAAAAAAATAAATACAGTTAACGATACTTTAATCATTTTCTATTAAAAAAGATTTGTGCAGCCCTTTGATGCGACTTAATAACAAAATTGAAAATGATGTGTATTATTTGATTATTGTCAGATAGCACATGTAACGGGACGGATTTTTTCTTAATCAAAGAACCAGATAAGATGTGTCTTAACGGCGATCCTTAGAAAAAAACGGAATCCATATGAATCTAAGTATGTTCATAATAAATGCATTAAAATGTTTTCTTAGTTACATACACTTGAGTGCTTAAAATATGTCATTGGGAATCTACTTGCATATAGTGAAGTACAGCCTCCATGTTCAATAAATCATGGTTATTGTGTTTTCTAAGCATTAAAAATTTAAACCTTTTCTCTAATAAAACATTTTATCAGTTTCTAAAAGTTTAAGATCATTTTTAAAGTGATTTCTGATGTTAAAATGTTGCATTAATATTATAACAAGAACATTTATACTTTCATCAATGATAATAAATTAACCTAGTTCTTAAAAAAGGTTTATAAAATATAATTAACTAGAACTATCGCTGAATGCGATTCATACCCCCACCAATGTCCTTGACAGAAGACGATTTGGAAAGGTGGTAAAGGGAATAACTTTAGTGGCACAAATACATATACATAAAAAGAAATTATCTCTGGTGAAAAAAAGACAAATTGTACAGGTAATAGTATAAAAATATATTTTTAAATGATATTCGAATAAGTTACAAATAACCTTTCATTTTTCCGATGAACTAAACATTTTCAAAGTCAATTTTTGACCTTCAAGCGTGACCTTGACCTTAAGCTGGCACAAGGGTAAGATGGGTTCTGCACATTACCCAGTTGGGGTGAACATTTGAGTAAAGTTTGAAGAAAATTCTTCCATTAGTATAAAATTTATAGAGCGGACACAACATATTGTCTAATATTTGATTGTATGTAAATTTGAAGACTTAAAAAGGGGCATAACTTTGTTAAAATGCAATACAGAGTTATGAAACTTGACCTGCATATCTTCATTGTGACACTTCATATATATTTTAAGTTTCAAGCAAATATCTTTTCTGGTTTCAGAAATATTCAAAACATGTTACAATTTAAGAATATTTTCTAAGTCAATTTTTGACCTTCAAGTGTGACCTTAATCTTAAGTCGGCAAAAGGGTGACATGGGTTCTGCACATCCCCTTGTTGAGGTGAACATTTGAGCAAGATTGAAGAAAATCTTTCAATTAATGTAGGACTTACAGAGCGACATGACATACTGTCTAATATTTGATTGTTTGATATTTGACCCATAATTGTGACCTTGACCTTGAGCTGACACATTAGCAACATGGGTTTTACACATCCTCTTGTTGAGGTGAACATTTGAGCCAAGTTTGAAGAAAATCGTTCAATTAGTGTAGGACTTACAGAGCGGAGAACGACATACTGTCTAATATTTGATTGTTTGATATTTGACCTTCAATTGTGACCTTGATCTTGAGCTGACACATGGGCAACATGGGTTCTGCACATCCCGTTGCTTGTTGAGGTGAACATTTGAGCCAAGTTTGAAGAAAATCCTTCAATTGGTATAGGATTTATAGAGCGGACACGAAAATGGAGACGGTCGGACGGACCGACCGACCGACTGACGGACGGACGCGACAAAGCGAATCCATTATAGCCCCCCCCCCCCCCACATTTTGTGGCGGGGGTATAAATATCATGGTAAAAGTACATTGTAAACTGCAAAAGTAATGTCATGTATGACGTCGCTAAAGTGCGGCATTTTGTTGGCAAAACACTAAATAAACATAACCTAGTTCATGTAAATAATTATTTTTTATGGGAACTATAATGAATATTATTAGCATCATCATGTCATTAGTTAAATGTCAGCTAAATAATCAATATAATCAGGTACATTATAGGGAAAAGAGTATAGAAAAATTTCTAGAATTGACAAGAAAACAATAAGTCATAATATTAAGCGTTCCCTTTTCTTAATAAGGTACTGTTTCTACAAGATAGATGTCCTGTCTCTTTATGTTAATTAAATAATTGTCAAAGAAAATAATATTGAAATATTTAATTAGCAAACTCTCAAATCTAATTCTTTATATATTGTTTGAGAAATTCCTTACAGCCTTACACGCTCCGTATTTAAGACACATTAAGCCTCAGAAATCAATTTGCTTTTAATTTTTTTGTAAGGTCAAATGTATTTAAATAAAGGATTTAGGACGTGTTAGATATTTCACAACTGATGAAAGTAACAATGTGTCTTAAAGATGGCAAAATGTTATCACAGTAGTATTTTGACTTCCATACAAAATACTAAATCAATTCAAACATTTCCCAAAGGGCAAAAGAAGCTTAATATTGTACACCGAACCTATAAACTTATAAGAAATAAAAAATGACGGCATTTCGAGGGCTTTATGAGACTCAGTCAAACTGAGTCTGAGTGTAAATATCTGTACGTTCAATAAATTGAGAGATTTAAGCTTATGTTTAGTCTATTCGAGACATAGTTTGTTTTAAACATATTTATTGTATCTGTGGCCAAATTAGAATTTCATTTTCAATTGAAGATGACTCACCTATGAACAAAATTATCACAATCGATTGCATTAACTGAATAGTTGTCAACTAGAAATCGTGATAAAAAATGTATTAAGTTGTCATAACTAAGTGTAAAATAAGAGGCTTAAAGCCAGTTTCGAACTCGATTTGTATTTAATAACGTTATACCTGTGTACTTAATATTATTACAACCAATTGTTTTAAAACACTATAAATGATACGTACAGCAGACATTTGTTCTAAATAGTGAACACTATATTATAGTAGAACAGAATCGAAGATATTGTCAAAGGGTATATATATTTAAAACATAGTACTGGCAAATGTTTAGCAACCTATACCTAACCTATACTTCCAATAAACTATCCTAGAACATATCATTTTTAATACAAACACATACACACACAGAGCGAATGATATCAGTTTTAAATGATACTTTTACAGGGTCTCAAATGCAGTTGTTGTTATTTAATACTTCTTTTTGCTTAATTCCATTTACTTTTGCACCCCAGTCAATAACTCATTCCGCCTTTCCCCGCCATTATTCAAAACAATAACAGTCATATTGTGCTATACAATATATTTCCATTTTCTGTATTTATTCACATATAATT